AGATAAACCAGTAGAACTTCGATCCTGGCCAGGCAGAGAGTGATCACCCACCAGAGTCCAGTGGGAAGATGGAAAACAAGAGACTGCTTTACTAAGTCTCTGCTTCCAGAGGGTTTCCTTATGCTCAGATGAAAAGCACAACAAAAGCAGCCATGCCTTGTTAGTAATTTATATTAACTCCACATCATTGTCTTCTGAGATTGAAAAAACCCTGATGGACTGGTGGATTACATTTGAAGGTCCTGAATAGCATTACTGACTCTCCAGGACTTCACTAGATGGAAAAAAGAAAAGCCTGAAAGTCTCTGGTTGAATGTTTTGCCAGTAAAAGATCTGTGCTATCTACAACCAAGTCAAGATGGTGTTTGGTGATTTCTTGGAGTGAGTCAGAGACACAGGGGACTGTGCCATTCTTAATCTGTGGCACGACACACACAGAGCAACTCAACTTTTTAAATCAAACTTAGTATTAGAAGAAATCTTAGGGAGTGAACTTCAAAGTGGTAAGAAGACAAAACCATCTTCAGCATGTTGCTCAGAAGTGCCTGACCAGGCAGGTGTCCCAGTGCAGGCTGACACATCACAAAGTTTTCTGTTGGGCAGCCCAGTAATGTATTTTAACGAAATAAAACTGGGCTCTGATCATTACTTTCTAATGTTTGCTATGAAAAATTCCATTTTCAATAATCCTCAAAACATTTAGCTCTGGAAAGAAAAGCATCCCTGCCTGAGAAGACCGGTGTCTGCGCTAGCAGGTGCAGCAGAATTTGGAACTTTTGGTGAAAGGTCACATTTTATCTCTGACACCATCGAGCTGAATACCACGACCAGAGTTCTAAAAAGCAAGATATGCTTTCAAGTTACTTTCAAACACAGCTACATGAATGGATTTTCAAAGAATGCATAAATAGCTGTGTCTAAAACTTTACACATTGAACCTGACACATCTAAGTATCACAAGTTGCTTTTGAACCTCTTAGCCTGTAAAGACACAGCAAAAATGCAAGTATCACTTATCAAAGTACTTTAAAACTTTTAATAAATTATTATTCATAAACAAAAACTAATGTCTGAATTTTAAAGTTATGCTTTCAAGACTGTACCAACGTGTGATGGTTTAATTTTCATATTGAGTGTTTCACTAAGATCCTAAGCCACACAACCCCACTCTAATTTAATGTTTGTGAAAATATTTCAGCCTGAGAGCTAAAATTGTTGTGTTATAGATAATAAAAAAACACTTTAAAAAAAAAATCTATACAGCATTGTGTGTTCTATTTTCTTAATACCGTCTCAACAATTTCTGGCGAACGCTGCAGAAGAAAAGCTCCGTCAATTAAATCTGCGTGAAACCAGAATAACATCAACAAATGCAACAAACTAACAGCCCTCTGCTATGTGAGAATGAGCAAAAAAATTAATCCTCCCTCAGGTTACTGAAGGCATTTTCCCTGAGGCTGCTACAGAGAGGCAGCAGAAAAGCCCAAACCAAAGACACACGAAGCTCCAAAGGGAGGAATTGCATCCAACATTCCCCTGCTCGTTCTACCATGAGAGAAAATACCTAGGAACTCTTATTTTTAAGTAAATCTGCAACTCTAAACCATGTCAGATTTCAAGTAAATTGTGCAGTTGCACCTCCAGTTTCCTGAAATACCACCCTTGGTTAACAGCATGTTCATTTATCTGCTTAGTGGTTGGAAATGGGCTCAAATAAGCATGCAAGTTGATCGTGGTCTGAGTTTGCTGTTTCATTTTGTTTTCAATTATAACAGCATCAGGAGACCTGGCATTTATCTGCTGCCTTTCATCAATAAAACATCCTTCCGTCAGTAAGACACCTGGAACCATTTAAGCCTCTTCAATATCCCAAATCCCAGTTAGGTAAAATACGTTACCACCCTGACATTCTGGTCACAGGCACTGGCACTGAGGCCAGGCACTTTTATTAATAAAATACCTTGCTGAACTGCAAGGCCAGCAATGAATATCCCTCATGACAGATAAAAACAATCTTCCCAGATGCAGCTTCCCCTTTCCTCCCATCAGACCTGTTCTGACTAAAGACAAGCAGGGAATTAAAGGAGTCCCTCCTTTTTCTTCCCATTATGGTTTGAGGGTTTTTTTGGCCTTACTATCCCTAAACTTGGCTCTACACAAAGAACATCATTCAAAAAGGGCTGTCTTATGTGGGTATTGTTCTGAAAATGCAACTTTTGCCATTTTACAAGTTTATATTGATGACTGCACTCCTTTATCAAGCGCTAGTGGTTTTTTATTTCAGTTAAAAGCACAAATTTTTCCTTTTTGTTTTGGAAAAGGGAGAAAGCTACTTTATTTACTAATGTCTGATTTTGTTTTGTTTTTAAGAAGGAGTGCTCTAAACGTTAGTATTTGTTTCCATTCTGCTATTTATTTTCATTTTTTCACATTTGTCTTTTCAATTAACCATGGTCTAATGCATTAAATAAAACATGTTTCTGACAAATGGAACTGTCAACATTATGGGGTTATTATTCCTTTGGTTTTAGATTGCTATAATAATAAATAATTACTAGTGCCACAAAGTTTAAAATCAATCCCAAATTCAGATTCTGGGCTTCCTTTCATTAAACAGGATGTACCAAGTCTGAAATTTTCTTGTGGAATAATCAGACTAGAAATCAAAAGGTAATGTCTGCCTATAAGTATAATATTTTTAATACATGAGGGATGAAGTATTGAAGAGAATGTTAGAAATCACATGTAAATACCCAAGGAAAACCTGTAGCATATTAGCAGTGTCCAGGTGAATAGATTTACAGTGAAATTTGGACAGTATTAACAGCCATGTTGGCTAACAACTATAATTCAAATGTACTTCAGCATTATACTGATTTAAGATACCTGTCCACCACTGTGAAGTTTGAATGTCTATTTATGCTACAAATATGCATTACTGATGCCATTATTTCTGTCTAGAGGTGAACAAGACATGGGTTAACATGAGAGAAACCTTCCAGGTGATACAGAACCAACACCAAATGCCCACATTAAAACACAGGGATTATGCATTTGGATACAGTGTCACAACACCATAAGTACTATTCACTGGGTTTACTCGTGTCATTTTTTTATTGCCCTAGCACTGCATGTCCCAGTTGTCCCATGTCCCTCAGAAAGGGTTCTTCAGGCTGTCTGCAGCCCTGATTCACCAGGCACTGGTGCAGTGATGCTGTGCTGGTCACAGCTCCTCAGAAAGGGCATCCCCCTCACACACAGCCAGGGCTGGGGGCCAAACTCCCTGTCACGAGAGCTCAATAATGCTCTTCCTTGGTTTCTCTGCTTCCAAGACATGTTCAGTGCTGTTGGGTCTGTTCTGCTGCCTCGTGCAGCTCTGCAGCACTGGCAAATCCAGCAGGCAGGTAAGAGTACATAAACCCAGCTTTCTGCCTTCCCACGGGGCAATACTGCAATATTGCAACATTCCACGGCCCTGGAACACAGGGGAGCCAAATGAACCCTCCCTGGTTATTACCCACCTAATGCTGGAAAAACACTGCTGTGACATTTTGGCTGCTCGACCATCTCAAAGGTTAATTCTGTTTCCTATTTGAAATTTTCCTCTCGCTGAGCCTTTCCACGCACTCTCTATTTACTGATTCCAAACAACCCCCAAACTGTTTCACTGCTCGCTCTCACTGTTAAGAACATATTGACTGGCTGCCTGCTCTGCTGTTTAATTCATTTATGCTGAGAGTCAGGCATGGAGACAGAATTTCAAATGTGACATTTGCAGGCTGCTGGGTCATTTGAAGCTCTGACAACACCAGGGGAGTTCCTGACATACAAACTGGTCCCGATTTTCAATCTTCCATGTTCTGAACACATCACAGATTCTTCCCGAAGGGGCAGATTTCAGCCAGAAGTTTTTAAATCTCCCCCGTGTTTACACCTCGCAGAGAAGACTTGTACACTTGAAAGTTTTAAAATAAAGCTCATGTTTCCTTTATGGTAAAGCCAAGCACTGCCTGCAGCATGCAACTCGACTGCTTAAAAAACACTGACTGGCAGAGGTATTTGGAAAGATCTACAAGAATAATTAATACTAATAAAGTTGTTTACAGAATTCCATTAGGGGGCTTGGTGGACTTTTATTTGTTCCTGTTGATCTTTAGGCATTCAAAACCAGCTCAGTCTGAAACCACAGCTCTGTCTAACATTGTCTATCTGGCCTGTTGCTACCCTGACCAAAACCACTTCCCAGTTTTCAGTTTGGAAGCTTTTTCCCTGTCTCAAGCCAGTGAAAAGACTGTACCATTTTGGCTCCCATGATGAACTGGCATTATCTTGCCCAACTTTCAGGTGAATTTTTCAGAGTATACCTGATAACCTGAAAGATTCCATCCTGCCAAGGTACCAACTAGGCAGTAATCTGACCTTGTGTGGTCCTGACTTAAGAAAATGGTACTTATTTGTTCCTGAAGCAGGAGTCACATCTACAGAGTTTAAAGATTATTTATTTTATTGAGAACATTCCAAACAAAAAACCCTGTGCAAAGCAGAAAGTCAGGTGACCCTGCCACAGCCAGAAATAAAAATGGTGCTAATTCAGAACTGTATTAGGAGGAGAGATTGTTTTTCCCCTCGTCATGACAATTATTCCATAATAATGATCCCATACTTTGGCTGCTTTTTCAGGAGGGGGAATATGATTTAGGTCAAGATGCAAATTTGAAGAAATTACTGGTTTGTTGGTTTGTTTTTTCTTTTCTACCAGCAGACACACAACAATTCTAGCAACAAGATCTGAAGTGTTAACTGTGTCATACAGCAAGCATCTTTCGTTGCCACGTTCAGAATGAGACGTTCATAATTTAATAGTTGTCACCTGAACAAGAGTATCTCGTTTATACATCCTTCCAGTATAAGGACATTAATTCTGTGTGACCCAGAAAAGCAGTTTAAGTCTTACAGATGTTCTTTGTTTTCAAAGAAATGTTTCAAACAGGAAGACGTACCTGGTGTATGATCTGAGCTACGGGAAGTTGTTCAGCGTATTTCAGGGGTTCTGCAGCCAACTCTTCCTCTGGAAACCTGCAAAGAAATTAAGTTCACATTTGTCAAAGCTAGTACAATGTCTGCCAAATTAAATTGCTGAAATTGGGAGTTTCAGGGATATTATTTTTCTTAAGATGAAGAAAAAGTGTATTTTGTGACGGTAATGGAATATAATTCTTACAAAGTTGAGCAAAAGAATAAACTTACAGTAAGCAGAAATGTGTGTAACATTGTGGATTGCTTCCCTGACATAAAGCACGAATTTAGCAGCAGAAACCTAAGAAAACCTTTACATTTAGTTTTAGGTGAAACAAAGCACTGGTGGAAGCTGGACTGAAATCCCCACGATAAAAAGTGCCTTGTGCAGGTTAACAATACAAGCTTCTTCACTCCATCCTGCCAACACAACTCAAACATGACCATCTCCAAGGGCAAGAGGGATTATTCACCACCTCCCATTTCTGCTGCAAGTGACATCAGCGTTCAGATGTGGCAGAAGTTCAATCTCACAAATCTATTTCCAGTACAGTAAGCAGTGTGCACTACCAGTTACCAAAAAGCCAAAACATTAGTGTGAAAAAAAAAAAAAAAAAAAAGAGTGGAATACTTCACAAAGAATATGCATCATAACCCTTTAAACTCTGAATAAACTGTAGTTGCAGTCAGAAAATCAGAATCCATAAGCAGTCTCTTAGAAGAATATTTAAATGATAGTAAATTAATCTGAAAGCATGCTTTAAACCCTTCAACCACCCTGCTTTCATCTACTGGAACTGCACAGCGTGTGCTATATTTTCAAAGTATCACTCAAGTTTTTCATCAGCCATTCCTCTGTATTTCTGAGAGTTCTGAACACAGGAATTTGAGTAATATGAGAAGAAATGAAGGTGGGGGAATCTCAATAAAAACAGACTTTTCTCTAAAGTTAAAGCAGAATTATTTTCAGACAGAAATTGTGGCCAATACATTATTTTCCAGGCTCAAATTACTACCTTATATCCATTCTGGTCAAAAATCATACACATTTGCTGGGTTAATTTGCCTGCAGAGCAGTTGGCAGGCAAGAGGCACAAAGTACAGGCTCAGTCTCTGCACTGGGAGCCACCAAGCTGTGGTGAAAGAGGACAGGAAGAGCACATCTCCCTTTTCCACTGCTGAATTTCTGCTTCTGTTCTGCTGGGAGCCTGTGAGCTGACACAACACCTTGATTTTTTTTAAGCCATTTTTTTCAAGCCGCAGTTCTCGACGTGAAACAACTGTACACACACCACACAATATTCATCAGTATCTCCAACACTTCTCTCTACACTCTTTACAGGGGCACTGGAAATCTGGGGAAAAAAAAAAGTAACTCAAATCCCCAAATTAAACACTTTAAGCTTCGAGGAATAGCTAAAATTACTATAATCTGAATATTAGCGGAAATAAAAGCGAAGCTTGACTGTCTGTTCCGTCAAGGACCTTGTATATATTTGGCAATGTTTTCTGTCTAGACAGAATCTGCATTCCCTTCCACAGCCAAACACCCTCCTTGTCAACTGCAGAAAAAAAAAAGGCCTTTCTTCAAATGTCAAAGGATTAAAAAAGATAAAGCAAAATGATCAAGATAATTTTAAGCCTTGGGAAGCTTAACTGAACAAAAATAGGGAGGGGAGAACAGTATGAACATGTATTTTTAAGTAATTAGATTTACATTGAAATTAGGCTGATAGGAGCTTTTAAACATCGAGAAAGACATTTTATTTTTTTCTCATTTGCTTTCTGAAAAAAAAAAATCACTTGAACTACACTACATTTTTTATATAAATAAATGATAAGATACAGATTAGGGTAGATATGCACATTATAATGTATTTACATAGACATCTACACTTATATACCCACACTACAGTATGTTTACAGACATGAACATAACTATTTTGGGAATAAAGTTCAGAACTGCTCTCTCAACATTTTTCCTAAAATGCCATGAACTTTTTGCATCTGTACTCAGTGATGTTCTGGCTGTCAAGTCTACAAAAGAGTTTTGATTCTTCTCTCCTCCAGATCAGCCTCCTCAACTGGATGAGCACACACCTCAACCTTTTACAAGAAACTGTACAAATTAAAGCGTGGGAGATCAAAACCCTTGACAAAAAAAGTTCTAACTCACAGTAAATGATCTCTGCAAATTTGATAAAATAGAGTCTTCGTTGTGATGATGCTGCAGTGCCACCACCTAAAGCCACCCTGTGGCAATTTGGCACATCCATGACTTCACCATGGTCTTCCTGAATGCTTTGCTTCCACTTCTTTTCTTTGATCAACTACCAGAATATTTCAACACATTTTTCTAGTGTTGTTCTCATAACACTTCTACTCATGGTTCCAACCAAGAGTCAGACCTGAATTGTTATTATATTCACTGTCCGTAGCTATTTACACAGTGGAAAATTAAAAGCACTTAATAGTGACATCTTTTTTTGGTAAAAAGGGTAATTATCCTTAGAAGTTCCATTGTCTTTTAAGCAAAGTAAAAATTTTGTTAGAAAACAACAGCTTTTACTGATCTAATTTTCCTATCAAGTGATATTATTAATAACCTTTCTAGTTTTCCTATCAAGTGATGGTACCTGTGGCAGAAACAGAACTTTGTGACAGAGGTACCTTCCAGGCCTCTGTGTAACTACATCAGTCAGACATCCCACTTTCAGAATTCATTTTAACAGGTATTAGCCACATAAATTCCTTGAAGAGAATTATATTACTATGAAGGCTCCATAAATCTCATTTTCATTTCTCAGTGCAAAGACCAGTTTAACGGTCTAATCCTTTGTATAACAGGTATAAAAGACACCTTCCTCCACATTTGGGTTCTTTTATCTTACCAACACAATCCTCCTGACTTGGTCTCTCCCTTTCCCAGGGGGACACAAGTAAATTGATTGTTCTCTCCAGAGACAATTTCCAGGTGCCTGGGGTGGCATTCACTTTTGCTCAAAACTAGTTATGTCGGGAAAAAAAAATCCAAATACAAGAAAACAACACCTCAGTTGGTGGAATCTGTGCTCAAATCACATGTAGCTCAAATTGGAGGCCATGACGTCACAAAATTAGCTGGCCTCACCGTATTTGGTTCACTTACATTTGACACTTAGAACCTCCACAAAACGAAGGGCTAAATCGCTGCTTTCTACAGATTTGTTTAATTTCTTTCAGAGCGATTCTGTTACAGAAACAAAAGTCATTTTTCGTTAATTAATTTTCCGGGAGGAAACAGCCCTTTCTGTGTCAGTTGATGGCGACAGCAGAGCGCTGCCAACGGTGCCAAGGCGAGCTAACACAGTGGCAGCATCAGCATCGACAGCACCACCCCTGACAGCTGGCAATGCAAAGCATAAGGAGATCTCCATTTTCAGGGAGAAGACCAGAGAGAAACATCAAATCAGAAGAGAAGTGGGAAGCAGCAAGAGATAGCAGAATAGGAGGAGGATCTTGAAAAATTCAATTTAGAAGTTATTTTTACGCCGCCACCGTGACCGCTGTTGGATGGAGGAAAGGGAGCGTGAACCAGAAACTGTGGAGAGTGAATCTAAATCCAGTAAAACGTGTCATGATATTTAGTGAAATATCTTATTTGCTATTTATATTTGCGTGCTCGCTCCGATGGGGAAAATCCTGTGGAAGTTCTGCACGTGCTAAATAAAGAAAAATAAATTCCTGGAGCACCAGGAGGTGGCACACCAGCCCAGGGTCTGCTACACAGAACGGCTGCAGTGGCTTAAGGGCAGAGATATACTTCATCTCATGCAAGTATTACAAAAATTCAGGGGGAAGAACAAGAGCAACGTGACCACCAACTGGTTTGCTCGTGGCTATTGAGACACCCAAGAGACAGAAAAGTGTAGGTAACACAAAACCCATCTGTTGGCAAATATAAACACTCATTACAGCAGGCAACAGGACTGAAGGTAATATTTCTTCCTTCTTACATAGCCTCTAGGTTTGATGGTTCACACAATTTCATGCATATGACCCGTGCACAGGTAATACTGCACCTCTTTTGAAACTACTGTTGCTCCATGGTAAGCCCTCATAAATAACCACCTCTCTTGGTAACTACACAAAATGAAAAGTCAAGAGTGTAGAGGGGGTAAAAAAGGCTATCAGAGACAAAAAAATGCATTATGGAAGAAGGGGGTTGGGGAATCACCATCTTTATTTGCTGTGGATGTAAACAAGTTGTACTGTTGGAAGATGATTTCTGAATGGGCATGAAAACACTGGAATGGGTTTGTCCCTCTTCTGGAAGTATCTCAAAGCAGAAACAGTGCAAGTGATGGGACAGTCAGCATGACATCAGAGGGTGCAGATAACACAGCAAGGCCTAAATCACAATACCCAAGACTGAAAGGCTGAAATTATTAATCCAAACCTGTGTATTGCACTGATGGCTTTATTGACTGTAAATACACGAACACACTTGCATCTGGCAATAAAAAGCAAACAAAATACCAGAGCTTTATGCACCACATCAGAAAAAGTTATTAGCTTTCCTATTAAAGAGAAGCTGAAATGGGCTATGTCGGGTTTGAGTGAATGGTTTTTAAAATTGGCCGTTGAGAAATTTATCTACCATATCCATAGTACAGAAGATTAAGAATTAGACCTTGGATTAATGCCAGCTACTTGATCTATCTGCTAAATCCCAACTGCACACTTATTTAAGAATTGGGCATGTTTAAACAACAGAAGCACTAAAGTTTCAAACTAGAAAAGGTGAGACCATGGTTAACTCTGCTCTTCCCCAACAAGTGTGCTGACCAGTGCTCTTCTTATGTTTATAAGGGAATGCAAGATCTGCCTGTACATGTTTGCCACATGGGGAGTCACAAAGAAGAGAAGCAAACACTGGAGAGCATCATCATTCCAGGGAACTTCCTCACAACATCTCCTTCATGGCACAGTTTCTTCAGTTAAGGGTCAAAACAAGTCTTTGTTCTGGTCTCCCTCTAAAGACCTAATTTAGAAATGCAAAATATTTCCTGTAATCTGCT